CCATTTCAGCAGTGGCGGGCCGTGCATTTTATACCTGGGCCTTCACTGCTGTCCTGCAGCTGAAACACAACTACGGTTATTATTTGTTTCGTGTCAAAATTAAGCTCAACACCTATAAATACACTAACTGCAGAGAATACGCTGAGACTGCATCTCCTCTCTGCTCTGACTGCAGCTGGGACTGCTGCGCGAGGCTTCTGTGAGAGTACCCGCCTGTGTGTGCTTTGGGGTGGCGGAAGGGCTCACGGCAGCACCCGCTGCTCGTTCACGACAGTCAAAACACCAGAAAAGTCTCCAACAACACCAGAAAAAGTCGCTAGATTTGTCGCTAGTAGCTTTTGACAAAAAAAGTCGCCATGAGGGTTTGGAAAATCGCCAGATTTAGCGAGCAAGTTCCCAACACTGGCACCGGCTAAATATGTCCCCAGAGCAACATTGGACGTAACAATAGTTCCTATCACATATAAAACTAAACAAAAATCCATCTTCATAAAAACAAGTTGTACAAATAATAATATATAAACAAGCATATTAAAGCTACTGCAGATGTACCCATACTGAAGAGACTGCAATTCTGTAACTACATGGTCTATTTTAATAATTTTGATGGTATAATACAGATAACAAGATTTGTTCAGATGTGTAACTATCAGTGTATATATTACTGGTTAATAGTAAATGAAGATATTACACAGCTCAAATTGAAAAATTTCAGGTTCACCTGAAATAAAAGCACTTTTATTGATATTATGTCTTTGAAATAATGCAGCTGAAAACCTCTCCCAAATCATAGCACAATATCTCAGCAGTCCCACAAAAAAATGTGGCTGGGATAAAGTGAAGAATAAAAAAGTTAGAGGTTTTAGTACAGAGAGGTCACGCGAGGTCATTTTTGAACCAGCTGTTGCAGCTGTTCCATTGTACTTTTATATACTATATAACTATATATTTCACTTGTTTTATCACTAATGGCGTTCAATACATCCAAATACAGCAGTTTGGCATAATTTTCAGAGCCAGGGTCCTCTCAGAGCCTGTTTCTGGCTCTCATCCATGGGATTTTCTCGTCTGTATTCCAGTTGCTGTGTGTGTATGGAGGTCTAGCTCAGCCTATCATCGGTCGATTTCAGTCTATGAGCCCTCCTTCGACGCGTCAGAGTCTCGGGAATGCACTGGGAGTAGACTGGTGTTGATTGACAACTTTTAGCCAGTAAAAATCGAAAAAGCGCCGCGCATCCCAGAGCCTGAAATTCTATTCGCCAAAAGTCTGACCCCCTACCCCCGGGTCCCACAAGTTAGGTTGACCCCCCATTCTATAGGAAACAGATGAGAAACAGACAGGATGTATGTAGCAACAATGTTTTTAGCCGCCAACCGGGGAATTGTGCCGTTCTTTTCGTGATTCTTCGTAAAAGTGAGGAGCTGCTCAGAGTTTGTTCGGTGAAGCGGTTTGTTGTTCTCGCATTTGTTTGCTCACAGCGTTGTACTGGTTTGACGGAGAGAAATTCTGAAGATATCTCTGGATTCTCGGTCAAATGCTCTTGCTTTCTGATGTATTGATCAGCCATGCTAGTCATTAGCATTTTGTTCAGAGCCCTCTCCGGAGTGAGTAGGTCGCCGACTCATGGCGAAAAATACGTGATATTGTGGTACATTTTCTACTTGATTATATTAGTTGTGTATAATTGTGTTTAGAGTGTGAAAAAAGTGACTTCCATGGGCGTGTTGCCCAGAAGGTGCTGTTTAATCTGGTATATAATATGTGCATATGCATTATATTTGCTCTTGATATGTACATTTTTTCGACGGTATATGCTACCCCCTCTGAGCCCGAGAGCCCCCAAATTTGGGGGCGTCGTGCAGAAAAGGTTTTAAAGACAAAGTTTATCCTCCTTTCTTTGTTAATAAAGAGTTTAATCTCACGGTTGTTCAGTACATCCGTGCGTTATAGTTCCAGTAAGAAGTCCTTCTCGATTCATGGATGCCAGTGAAGACAGTCGAGCCTCCCTAGTTGTATTTCTTGAATACGTTTTAATGCGTTTGAGGCTGAAAATGTCCGCTTGACAGGCAGCAGATATTGGGATTGTCACCGCCCAACATGTCAATCACGTATGGCTAGGCCAGCTGCAGGCTCTGGCACGTCAAAGAATACGCCCAACATGTCAAACTAAAGATCTGATTGGTTGAAGACTATGACAATCAACAATATCGTCCCCATTCACTTAAACTGCAAAGGGATTCACTTGAGTCTGCAGGCCTCGGGCCTCTCTTCTTACCTAGAGACACAGAGGTGAAATCTGATTGGATAAAAGCTCTACTTAAAACAAGCTGCACTGGAAGCAGAGCAACTGAGGAAGACAGTAGCTGTGCAATGAGAAAATAAGATAATGGGAAAAATATTTTATAAATTATAATACATGTAGTGTATTTAAGAAAAATTATTAAATGATAAAATAGCTATAACTTTGTGATTCTGTTTAGGCCAGCAGAGAAGGCTTTGCAGGCCCTGACGGCCCGCCACTGCTTGAACTCACCTGTCTGGTTCTGCCTGCTTAATTCTTCATCTGTCCCTTGCTTGTGTTGGGGCCATGTGCTTGGCTTCACCATGTGCTTTGAGACAAAGGACATCAGGCCTTCCTATTTTGCAGAGCAACCTGGAGCCTGATTTGGGGTTGATAATGGCCAAACCCCCAATAAAACAATTTCACACACCCTTGTGAAATTCTGAGGTAGTTTGGTTGAGAGAACGCACCGCTGCTCTCATTGGACGAGACCAGGGATGCCGAGGCGGGACTTCCGGTTTCACGGCCAAAAGCGGCTAGCTCATAGATCTACTTAGCGCCCCTGAAAACTTTGCTTATCCCGCTGACGTCGTGTCGGTGAAAGGAAGCACGCAACGTTGCTGTGTTTAAAACAAAATCCCAGGTTTTAAACAGTTTTATATTCGCTGGACGAATCTACTGGACTGTTTGTTTGTTTTGTTTTTGTTTCGCTTCCTGGAAGAGGAAGTGGACAATTTTCCTGCAGAAGTGAAGAAACAGATTCTTCAGAGAGAGAGAAGCACATTTCTCCCCTCCACCAAGCCACCTTTGTTCCAGCCGCAAGGAAAGAAAGATTCCCTAACGAGCCGAAGAAATTCTCTGACGCACAGAGAGTTTTATCACCGTGCAACCTGAGTCAGCCAAGGACTCAGAAGGACCGCATTGACCGCCACGAAATCGACGCATAGTAAGGCAAATAGAGTCTGGGCAGAGTATGGTTATTGTGTTTATTATCTTGTTTGTGTTGTTTAAGTTACTGTGTAATTTTTGTAACGTGGTGTGTATATAAATCGCCGAGATTAACGACCGAGATCGTTAATGTTGTGTAGAAATTACTGTTGCCACAATCGTGTTGAGATAATTCACCGCTGGAGAGACCGGAAGTTGTTTCTCATCAGTTCAGAGGTCAGAACCGCGGTTGTGCTAATCAAAGAGTCGTCAGCTTTGTTTCTGTAGATGAGAGAGCAATCTTCCATACTCCACTATGGCGGGGAGGATCTTAATTGGTTTTTGGAGGACCTTTTTGTTTTGTTTGCTTTCTCTCTTCTTTTACTAACCCACACACGCATATAGCTTTAAGCTAATGTAGCTCCGGGGTTGCGCTAACGGCTTCAGACAAGTGTAGATAACGAGATCTCTATTGTCTACCGCCATTATAGAGCCTCATGCCATCTGGTGGTCTCGCGAGAGATGTCGCCATGTTTCAGATTACGTCATACGTTGTCTGAGCTGTTCTCCCGCCGCTCCCCCCTACACACACTGCATGCACACACACACACTTCCCCCCTTACCATAGTTTGTTGATTTTAGATAGCGTGCTCATGAATGTATAGTTGTTGTTAGTTTTAGATATTAGTTGATTAGATCATTATTATTGGAACTTAATAAACTCTGTTATACTTTAAAGCAGCTGTCTGTGATTACTTTGTGCATGTTGTTGGGAAAGAAAAGGAGCATGTCAGCATATAAGAAAACTAAATTATTGACATCAATAGAATTATTAATGTCAGTAAGATTATTAACGATTATTAATAATAACAGGGCACCACCCTGCGAACAGGGACCAATGACCAAACTATAAACTAAGTCTCATAATTAGTATTCACTTACAATGTCAATAGTCAAAGTACAATTACACATTCAGAGTGAAAGTGAAGGTTTACGTTGGAGCAACTGACCACATATCAGCTATAATCACAATACATGCACGAAGTAATCACAGACAGCTGCTCTTTAAAATATAACAGAGTTTATTAAGTTCCAATAATAATGATCTAGTCAACTAATATCTAAAACTAACAACAACTATACATTTATGAGCACGCTATCTAAAATCAACAAACTATTGAAAGGGGGGGAGTGTGTGGGTGTGTGTGTGTGCATGCAGTGTGTGTGTAGCAGTGTGTGTGTAGGGGGAAGGGGCGAGAGAACAGCTCAGACAACGTATGCCTGCTTTCGTGCACCGACGCGAGGTTGGGGGGAATAGCGATGCGTTTAGGGGGGCTCAGGCGTTTTATAGCCTCGGCATTCCTGGGCTCATCCAATGAGAGCAGTGTTGCATTTGGGTGACGAATTCACATCTGGATGTGAACTCCTTCCTAGTGGGGGGTTGGTGCTTATCAAACCAAGTCAGGATGAACCCTCGCCTGCAGAATCGGCAGGCCCAGATCTCTTTGTTTCAAAGCACATGGGCCCAACAATGTTGTATTGTGATAATAGCTGGATATGTGGTCTGTTGCTCATACTCAACACCTTTACTTTCACTCTGAATGTGTAATAGTACTTTGACTATTGACATTGTAAGTGAATACTAATTATGAGACTTAGTTTATAGTTTGGTTATTGGTCCCTGTTTGCAGGATGGTGCCCCGTTATTATTAATAATCGTTAATAATCTTACTGACATTAATAATTCTATTGATGTCAATAATTTAGTATTCTTAGATGCTGATAACTCAAACACGCTCCTTTTCATTCCCAACACTTGTTACCTCAGCCTTCTCTGTTTGCCTGGTTTTAAACCTCTACTTGCTTATCAGATTAAAGATTTTGGACTTGCTCCTAACTTGCTGTCTCGAGTTGTGCTTGTGGGTTTCTGCCTGTTCTGTGCCAGCCAGTGCTACACATTGACCTGCAAGGTGATGAAGCTGTTTGACAAGTTGTAGTTAACTTGGACTCTTAAGTTAATGTCAAGGCTAACTGACATGTCACAAAAGGCTCATGAAAAGGTTTGAAAAACAAAAACAAAAAAATCTTGTTGGATTTGTCTGACATGGTCTATCAACATCATCTCCTACATATATTTCCTTGTTGGTGATGAAAGCACAATGGACACTTTGGTACTAAGCTTGTATGGTCTCAAGTGGATGATTCAGTAGTGATGGCCGTGTTTGTGTACCAACCTCTTTCACAGCTTGGTAAGTCGCCGCTCCAGGTGAGGTCCCATTGGCACATGAGCAGCTCAGCACCCACCACCTGAAAACCAGGGTAACACTGGTAGGTCACCACGGTGCCCTGAACCAGCTCAGGGTGAGATGAACTCTTCCAGCCATTAGAGATCTCTGGAAGCTCGGGGCAGGTGTCATTACGAGCTACTTCTGCAGGTGTGTGTGTGTGTGGGGAGGGAGGGGTTAGAGAGAGAGACAGCAAGGAAGCGAGAAAGGCAAGACATTAGGAAAATGTAAAGTTTGAGTGGCATAAAGATACTAATGTCAGTCAGTCTCTGTCTGCCCAACACTTTGGTTCATAGCTGATGCTGATGGAAAGGCCCCGCCAACACAAGGGACAGCCTCTTATTGCTTACATTTGTAAGGACTGTAAAAACAAATTCCCTCCTCCTCGAGGTAGAACTCACTGATACATTCCTGATACACCAGAACAATATCAGATTTTACTCATAAATGACATTAAAGAATACCTAAACATTCTAAGAAATATACTTCACCAAAAGGGAGAAGAGAAGATGGACAGTAGAAATACAAAGCTAGAGTCGGGATGTGGGGGGCCTAGCTTAGTCCATGTGGTTGAGTTATCCATGGGCACTGCTTCTATGGCTTACCAAAGAAGTGGACTATGAAGCCGTTGCCGTAGCCGTAGACGTTGGTGGCAGGGTCAGACTGGAACTGGATGGTGAGGTCTGCTGTGGAGGTGTAGAGCTTAAATCTGGACTTTGATCCTCCATACTGACCCAGTACTTTAGCTGTAAGATCATCTCCATCATAAAAGGTCAACAGATCATTCTTCCCAATATTCAATCTGAAACGGGAGACACACACAAAATCACATCTGTGTTTAGTGTCCACTAGTATCCATGATATAAATGCAGGTCCATTTACCATTTACATCATCCACAACGGACAGCGTGGTTCCTGTTCCATTGCTCCTGAGAAATCCAGTGTCATGATAGTTATGAGACTATCGACAAGGTGAGATCTTGTGGTTCACATCACACTGAAAAATTAACTGAATTTCCCTTTTCAGAATATTCTAAAACATCTGAGACGCTATTTTCCGGCTGATGGAGACTGACGAGGAACACAAAAATCACAACGTTGACAATGAAAAACAAACATTTCTGTCTGTGAACCAACATCACGCTGAATAAGCACACTTACTTTCACAGTTTCCCTATCAAAGTATTTGTGCTGATTTGAACATAGCCTGTAAAGCTGGAAGTCTTACAAACCTCAAAGCTGTTTAAAAATGTCACCCGGGGCTAAGCTATCCCTTAGCACACTGAAGATTTAGAGCATGGAAGTAATGGCTTAGCCAGAATAAAGCAGTGACATGCTCTTTGCTGTCCCTAATTAATCACCAGCGGCTCCTGATAAAACTCATTAGCCAGCCTGAGACTGAGCTATTAATCACTATGGGAATGCCAGAAAATCAAAGGTTCAAGAGGCGTGGATTGAATCGATATATTGCAAAGCCTGACAGAGGATGAAATGTTTATTTTTGACTTTTTTGTTTTAACAAAAACAGGAGGAAATGACTATGTGAGGTAGTGAAGAGACGAGAACTTCAGTGGGTAGTGTTTGTCTTTTCACTGGCAGAATCATTAGTCTTCTGTTAGCTGTAGACACACGCGCACACACACACACGCACACACACACACACACACGTATAATTTGTATTCCTACACTTGCAAGGAACTTCCATGGAATACATTGATTCTCAAACTAACTGTAAACTTCTGATCTTAACATAACCTGACCCAGTTGACTGATATGTATTTTGGTCCTGCCTCAGAAATAAAAACAACCAACTTCAACTTCATGGGCTGCATACAGTAAACCAGTCACGTCACACACGTGGCGAAATAGACCAATACATACCACATGCTAACTGTAACTGTGTTGTAATGATGTTATATGTGCACAGTGAAAAATCACTAATTCCTTTTTTTTAAAGTTGCATTCAGATAAAATCATCCCATTTTTTATGTGGCTCAATTTTACAAGCCAGGATAAAGTGACTGAATTGCCATGTTTTCTTTTCATTTCATTGATCTATCCTGACATCAAGTTAATGTTTCCAATGAAGCAATCATGACCAATTATTACTGATGAGTAAAGTCAGTCTGGTGTTATTCTATATTTTTCCTATTATCAGCAATCAATTCCATCAAAAACAACAATGTGTTTTTTTCTCAATATTTTCTGAGATGTAGTTTTTATCAACTTTTACTCAAACAGGTGGGTGGAATTTGGTGCGCATTTGGTGTTCTGGTGAGTATTTGTGGCAGCAGGCCGGTGTATGTGGGATTGAATAAATTCAAAGTGGGATTGAATAAATTATAGTGTGTGTGTTCATGGTGATGAAGGCTCATTGACAACAACTTTTTAGTAGACACATTCTTTGAGGTTCGTATGCTACAAATAAGTAAATATTTGAAGAGTTTCAAATTCTGGAGAACTTAGAACCTGTTCAGTTGTGTCAATTTAATCCGTTTTTGTGGCCATTTCTTTTTCAGCTGACTCGATGTAAGAAGATGACATTTTGGTTGACTGCTTCTCAAACCAGGGGAACAGCTGTTCTTGAGCACAACATGACAACAAATTGGAGATATAGGTTGTGATTCAGAGATATAGAGGATTTGTTTTTTTTCAAAAGACAATGTCAAAACAATCAATCAGGAACCGCTTACAGATGAAAAATGTGTCAAAATATAAACAGTGATGTGACAACAAAATTGAAGACACATTTCTCCTGATTATTGTGACATAATTCAATATTGACGTTGTTCCAAAGTTGAGTCAAGCCTGTATCATTTCCTGTTAATACAAAATGTACTTTTCTTGCCAAAATAATATACTGTCATCATAAGTATATACTAGTCTACACTGTGGGTAAGTAGCCTGTCAAACATTCAAAAGTAAGTCTTACTTTCCCTATCTTATTCAGTGTGGCTTTGTGGCACAAGGCAGTAAAACTGCCTGTGCCAAAGCACACTGTATATTATCCATCAGGCTTAATCATAATAATAACAATCAGGTTTATCCAAAAGTTTGCCGCGCTTCTCCTCACACAGCGTTGCCAACAGTGGCGTGAAAAATATATCAAAACGTGCGGCCTAATCGGGAATAGTATGCATTCTATTTTTCGGAGAGATTCACCAAGCGGTTTTCCCGAAAATCCCGGAAAACCCCGAAAAACGGAGCAAAATGAAGTTTGGCGCGCATCTCCTCACACAGCGTTGCCAACAGCGGCATGAAAAATACATCAAAACGTGCGGCCTGATCGGGAATAGTGTGCTATCTATTTTCCGGAGAGATTCGCCTCGCGTTTTTCCCGAAAATTCCCGAAAATCCCCAAAAACTGAGCAAAGTTTCTCCATTCACTTGAATGGGGTTGCAGTGTGAAGAGAGCTAAAAAAACACTTAACTTTGGGCCCATATTGACTAGCCATACATTAACGTAGAAACATGATTCAAAGTTTAAAACGTAGACAAAGCGCTGCACTTTATGGAGCCAAATGGACATTTTGATAGCTAGCACAGTTTTCATGAAGTCACAGATTAAGTTTCAGGAAAATTTTGGGTCTGTTTCAGATTTTATAATGGGTGTGTATTGCACGGCTCGTTAAGAGTTAGAGTGAGAGCATAACCGTCAGAGTGGAGTAGGAAAATATTCTGTGATTTTTCCAAACAAATTGCTCTAGCTCCCACAATTTTTACTCTTTATACACCATTTTTGGCCAAAAAGCTTGCAAATGTTGTGCTATCGCACACAGATGTCTGTGGAATCCAACGGACTTACACATTTGGCTCAAAGAGCCACAGAGCGACATGAACTCCAACCAACTGCTCCATTAGACTCCATGTTAAATCTGACCACTCATTTCTCAAAGAAAGCAGACGGTACCAGTTTTGCATATTGCACTTGAGCTCACATTTTTAAGACCACAAGACCGCGTTTGCCAGAGTCTTATCTCTCTCACGGTATCCATATTTTATTGATTAGGCTCATGGTTTTGGTATAGAGGGCATATGTTTGACAGGTAGTTTTGTTGAAAATCACTGTTCACTCTCTCTCTTAATTAGCCTCTAACACACAGGCGCTCCAATCACCAACATGCACCCAAGCACACAAGTGTTTATATGAGCTCATTAGTGATGTTGATAAACACACAGAGGCACTGAGACACACGCACATACACTCCTCTCCCTCTATCTCTCTGTCTGTCTCTCTCTCTCTCTCTCTGTGTGTCTCTCTCATACAGTCATTCAGGTCTTGGAGACTTTTAGAGGACTCCCCCCCCATTTTAAAATAAAAGCCGCACACACATGATTTAGAGATATACGTGATGCAGCTCAGCCAATCAAATATGGGTATTCTGATAAGTTTCCTGATTCGAGTGACATTTACACACACCGCGACACAAGAGGGAGAGACGAGGAAAGACATGGCAGAGCAGGACAATAGTCATGTAAGCTGTAAATGATAAAACATAGGACAATCTCCAAATGAGAAAGATTGCCAGAGCGCGTTCTCTCTCTCTCTCTCTGTCTCTCTCTCTCTCTGGCATTGTTAGACCTCCTGTCTGCCTGTCTCTCACTCAGTCCAATCTGTCTGCCTGTCTCACTCACTCTCTCTGTCTCTCTCTGTCATTCAGGTCTTAGATATTTTTAGAGGACTTGAACCTGAATGACACTACCGGTAACATTGGCGTGTATATATATTGAGATTTCTTCGGGCAGTAGAAGCCACACTGTCAAAATTTCTTTAGGAATTTTCTAGTTTAGTTTGCTCTCTATCAAATTAATTAATTCAGTCTGTCAGCCAGTTTAATTCAATTAAGGTGATTTCAACTGAGAAGAATTCTGACTAAATATATTCCCACCGCAAAATGTCAGTGCTTGATGCATGCAGTCTCTGAAAAACATGACTCCATAAACTCAAGTTATAATCCTACAAAAGATTTCACCTAAACAACTTAAACATAATGTTAACCTTAATCCTACTCTTAAACACATCATGAAAGGGGACATCTGGAAAGCTGGCCTCACCTTGATAAGGATTTTGTCCATCTGAAGATCTAAGTCTGGTCCTCACAAGCATAGCAAAATGAGTGTGTCGTCTTCTAAACTTGTTGTGTTCCATGTTTTTTGATTGCTAAGGGATAAAGCCTCTCACCTGCTCAGAGAGCGAGGCAGATTGAGAAGTATTGTCGGCTGGCTTCAAATTTGTTTTGATTAAGCTAAACAAGGCTTTGTGCGGCTCTGCAGTGAATCTGTAGAGAAAAATCAATCACAGCCTCCATTCCCTGACACTAATTTGATTTAGTTCAATTTAAAAAAAACAGGGCTGAGTTTGGCCTGGACCATGGGACCAGCTGCCAACACATTTACCCCAACTATTCACTTTATGATCTTCTATTTCCATCTTTCCAAAAGTAAGAAATGCATGAAGAGAATGGTTGGAACTAAATAGCATAGAAGTAGGAGGAACATTAAAGTTTTTACCATTGTCACTATAGATCAAAATAAAATGTTGATTGTTGTTTGTTGTTATGGATACAAAACACGTCTGTGGGGCCATAAGGTCACTCACTAGTTTGAGACCTCCGTTTTGGCCTACCATCCACATTAAGCTGGCATTTTCCTTTTATCATCATGCCAGAGTGGAATTAAGAATCGTTACATTAAATCAATTAATGATTCTCAATCCCACTCTAGTTTGCTATAGGTCGGTTTGTATGGAAGTTAGCCCTCTACAACGGACGCAATGGAAAGGGGACACATTCAAAATGGCCA